TCTTGGCGTTTGGACATTTTGGTTTTATATGCCCAACTTCTCCACACCCATAGCATTTGGGTGGGTTTCCTTGCTTCTTTCCTTTCCGTTCATACTCTTGGCTCATGAACTTATGGAATTTCTTGAGTACGATCCCGAACTCGTCTTCGTCACTCGAGTCTTCCATAGCACGTTCTTGACTTGTAGATGCCTTGAGAGCAATCCCATTCTTCTTTTGTTCACCTAGAGAGGGATACAGAATGGTAGACTCATAGGTTTTGAGATTACCTCTAAGTCCGTCAATGGTGACGTTGGTGATGCCGATGGATTCTTGAATGGCATCGGCTTTGGAGCGCCACTCCGGTGTGAGACTTCGCAGGATTTTTCTCACAAGCTCCTTGTCCGTGTACGTCTTCTTGAGAGCATGGAGATCATTAACGATATTGGAGAATCGTTCAAACATCTCATCGATTTTCTCATTCTCCTTCATACGAAACAATTCATATTCATGGGTTAGAAAATCTATCTTAGCTTCTCGGACTTGATTCGTACCTTCATATGTGATTTCGAGCTTGTCCCACATTTCCTTGGCGGTGGAACAACAAGAGATCTTCCGGTAGTCATCCGGGTTTACTGCACAATAAAGAATGTTGATAGCCTTAGCGTTGTTTTCTATTTTCTTGATATCCTGCGCATCGTATTCTTCTTCGGTTTTGGGAACGGTGGTTTCCCCAACTTTCTTCATGGGCACTTCTTCCCCATTCTTGATAATTCTCCATAGGAGAAAGTTGTTGGATTGGATGAAAATTCTCATTCGCTCCTTCCAATATGTGTAATTTGTTCCATCAAATAATGGAGGCCTCGTGGTGGATTGCCCTTCTCCTAAACCTGCGTATAAGTTTTGAGTAGAAGCCATTGATCGTTTCTCTCAAACGGTTACGTCTTTCAGAGAGTAAGGCTCCGATACCAATTGTTAGAATAAAGGCCCAACGCTAGAGGGGGGGTGAATAGCGTTTGAAACAATATCGCAGGAAATTAAAACGAGAGTGTTAAAGTAAAGAGCGTAAGGAAGGAGCACACCGGATTTTATCCTGGTTCACCACAACGTGTGGCTAATCCAGCCCCCCGAGAGACTCTCTCGAGCTACACTAACTCCGTTAAGCTTAAGGGTGCTTAACAAACCGATACAACTTGAGAACCCGAGTCACACGAGCCTCAACACCTTTGCTTGGAGATGCCACACTCCAAGACTTCTCACGAAGGAACAAGGAACTTCCTTCGAGTTTATAACAAGGGAACAAACTCCCTTAAAGTGTATGAAAACACTTAAACACTCAGGAATAAAACTCTCACAAAGAGTAGATATGAGTGAACTAGTAAACGCTCAAGAACACGACAATTTCTTCAAGAATTGGCTCTCAAATAGCTAAGAAAAATAGAAATGCTTATGCAATGAATGAGTATTGAAATGTTGAAGAGTTGTGTGTTAAAAGAGAGGATTTGGGTGCCATTTTATAGCCCAAAAAGGGATAAACCCGTTGCTAGAATTTCCAACAGGATGAAGACAAATTTTTCAGGGACACAGGCTGATAGTCGATTATCAAACCATGATAATCGATTATCCAAAGATTCCCTGTCCAAAAATTTAAAATTCTATCCGTTGGAGGACAACGGTAACCCAGATATTCGATTGTCAACAAGTGATAATCGATTATTGGTCCTCTCTGAAGATTCTGGGTTTTGGCTGCAAAGGCTGATAATCGATTATTGCAAAGCTGATAATCAATTATTGCGTGCTTCAGAACTTGGAAGTTCAAAGCTGCAGTGGCTGATAGTCGATTGTCACTAAGGTGATAATCGATTATCACCCAGCTAAAGTCTAGCCAGCTGAAACCCGTTTTGAAAAACCGAGGTCCAAAAACAAAGTGTTCCCAAAAGTAAAAACCAAGTATGAAAAACATTGTATATGGTATAAAATAGTGAAAACAAGACTTGTTTGGTGAAAACCAAGTCCTCTAGGTCGTAAATCACGTGCGTACGGTTTTGACCGTTTTTCACGTGTTAAACCGATTGACCAAGATACAAAAGTGGTTTTTGCAAAATAATGATTCGGGAACCTTTAAAATATGCTCAGAGATAAAAACAGGGTTTAAAATATTGAAAACCACGGAGTTGGTTCGGGCGCCCAAAACCGAACGCCGAAAGCCGAACGTTGAAAGCCGAAAGCCGACTTAGGTGGTTTTGGTTCTGAGCAAGGACCAGGGATTTTTAACAATAAAAGAAGTCATCAAAAGAATGTTTGTTTTGATGCACACAAAAAAATGTTTTATGGTTTGTAAAAATTGTTTTGACTTTTTGAGAACCGAGACTTGAATAAATTGTCGGTTTTGATCACAAAAGACCGACTCGACTAAGTCTTCAATTCTTGATCTTGTCCTTGAGTCTTTTAGGTCTTGTTCCAAGCCATTCTTCACGCCTTGAGTTATTCAACGAAACTTCTTCATATCCACGGCGGTTTGGCAATTATCAAAACCTGTCAGAAATGAACACGACTTTAGTTTAACGCACAAAGTGTGTTCCAACACTATCAACAAATAACAAAATAAGGCATATACTCCTATACTCTTCCCCCTTTTGGCATTATCAAAAATAATGCAGCAAAAGAACTCATGCATTCCGGGGAGAAAAAAATTTCTAAACAAATAAGAAAAATCACATTCCCCCTAAAAACATGCATTTCTAGGAAATAAAATACTTTCCCCTTAAATTATGCTATCTCCCCTTAAAAAAACATACAAAAATATTAACACATATAGCAAAAAATTCCCCCTTACTATATGCAAATGTCCTATGAATATTCCCAAAAAAAATTCATATAAGTCTCAAAGATAACATTTAATTTAAAAAAGAAGAATTTACTCCCCTTTGATGCAATCTCTTTGGCTAAGTGCTTGGAGCATCCACTACAAATTTGTAGTCTTCAAGCACGCCTTTCAAGTGCGTCACGTGCTCGACCACCCATCTTGTTCTTCAAGAGCGATGAGGCAACCGTCTTTGGAAGTTTCATCATACTTCCACGAAAAATAAGCAAATTCATCTTGTTTGCTCATTTTCTTGAGCTTCGGGCACTCAAATTTTTGGTGGCCAAGCTTTCCGCACTTATGACACCTTGGGGTGTTTTTCTTCTTGCTCTTGTTTAGCTCATGTTTCAAAAACTCGTTAAAACATTCAACCAAAATATCACAAGAAGTGCTAGAATCGTTATCACTATCACTATCCGAATCCGAATCATCAATCTCTACTTTTTGAGAAGAAGATGCTTTAAAAGCAATTCCCGTTCTCTTCTTAACATTAAGAGTATGAGAAAGATGATTTGTTTCGTAAGTGATAAGGTTACCTCGAAGACCGTCGTATGTGATGACGTTGTAATCCCGGCCTTCGTAAATGGAGTTTACCTTTGACTCCCATTCCTTGGTAAGACTTCGCAGGATTTTCCTCACTAACTCCTTGTCGGTGAGCGTCTTTCCAAGCATATTAAGGTCGTTGACGATGTTTGAAAATCTTCCAAACATGTCCTCCATAAGTTCGTTGTCTTTCATAGCAAATAACTCATATTCATGGGTTAGTAAATCAATT